ACATTACCTATATTTTTTTCCCTAATAATTATAACTTGAAAAAAAAAAAATTTTTTTTTTTTATGGGGGGGGGGGGGGGGGCTAAGACCCTCTGGCGCTCCCGGTGGTTACGGCTCAGTAGTGTTATAAGAAATAAAGTATGCATCAAAGTTGACTTGAGAGGATTCAATTTTTGATACTAATGAAGGACCAATAGAAAAATTCATTTAGTGTTTCAGCCACTAACTGTTTTTTTATAAAGAAGTTATTATTAAATTTGAGAAATTTTGGAATAGTATTTCTGTCAGGATTATTTTTACCAATGGCTTCTTTAATAATACGCAAAGTTCTTAGAGGATTATTCGAGTGCTTTTTTAATTAATTTGACTCAAGAGTCGTTTGTAGTTTACATAATTAGTTTCATTACGAATGTTTTTTTTTTTTACAGAAATTTGTTATATAGTCGTTGTTTTTTTTAGAAGATTTAAGAATACTCTTATAAGGGTATTCTTAGTAACATCCTTATAAGGGTATTACTATAGTAATTTAAGGGTTTTATAGCATTTTTGTTTTAACCAATTTTGAAAGTTCTGGAAACAAAACTTTGCTGATTTTAAGATAAAAGATTATTAGCAGATAGATACGGAGTTAATCAATCTTTTACAATCTAGGAGTTTGCAGCCGACAGAAGTTAAAAAAAGTTAGTTTTTAGTCAGATGCAACAAGTTTAGATCTTTTTTTGTAAAGTGGTGAAATATTAGCTTTCAGCCACGCAGCTGGGATTTGATCTTCTGATAATATGAATACGCTAATTTAATATTAGTCGAGTTACGTCATTTTCTAGGCTTTTCTATTTTAAAGTAGTTTCTAGGCTTTTCTATACGCGGTTTTTTTTAATTTTATTTACTAACAACGCGTATTACGGGTTGCTTACTGCTAGTCAAAAATAGATTTGATTAATATGTATGCAATATTCACGCTCAGAGATGAAGAAATTTTGTTAAGGAAGTGCGGATGAATGTCGTCTGCTGGTTTATGCATTTTAAGTTTTGAAATTAGTGATACAGTTCTCATTAAGTTTCACAAAACACAGTTTGTTTTTTTTTGCTCAAATAGTTTCTATTTCTATACATTAAGGCCATCTGTGTAGCTATTAAATAAAAACAAATTTTTAAAAAATAAATATATCTTTTAAAAGATGGGGATTCCACAAGGAGGTACAAGATTCTATGATAGGTCAAACATAAACTTTATAGGCTTTAATCAGAAGCTTGAAATCATTACATGAACTTGAAATCATTACTACATTACTGAATCATTAATGAAGAATTTTAAAAGTAAGTAGGAACGAGAATGTGTCTTGCTCGTAATGAAAGAACAGTGATTAGAAAACTTCATATCCGAAGATACGACTATACCAATATTTTGAATTGAGTTAACAGATTCAATAGGTGTACCAATGTTCTTTGAATATGAATTTTATGGTAAAGAACTGTTTCTATAGCGTATATGAACACATTTTTTGGTTGCTATATTAAGTCGCCAAACTTTTAAACGTTACGAAATTTTTTTTAAAGTATTGATTAGGTGTATGTTGTTTCCATCATTACTTGCTTGATATAACTTATTGTCATCAGCAAACAACTTAATGCTGCAATCACCATCAATACATGAAGTTATATTGTTTATAAAAACTAAAAATAAGATGGGTCCCAAAACAGTTTCCCGAGGTATTCCGCTCTTTACAAGAATTTTGTTTAAATACGAGTTACCAACGCCAACACATTGAGAACGATTTGTTAAAAAATTGGTAATCCAGTTTAGTAATTCATACAGGATATCATAACAATACAGTTTGAACTGTAACTTAGAGTGAGTTTTTGACATTGACAATTCGAACATTACGGAAAGAAGAATAGCAATGACATTTGCGATTAATTTCAGAACTATTGGTGGGTATCCATTAGATGATTTGGAGGACTTTTATGGAAGATTTTGTAGGGATGAAACTTCAGATCTGCATGGAAACATTACATTACTTAAAGAGTTTGAGTGTGTTGTTATCTAAGACAGGTGAAATACCATTATCTGTAACAAAAGCAGAACTGAAAAAATTGTTTGAAAGATCTGATTTCTTACAATCATCTGTGCTAAAAAAACCATCTGATTGTAATATTGGTGCATCAGAACTACAGCATTTGGTTTTTGCGTTTACAAAAAAACAAAAGAATAAAACTGGGCAATATTAGCTTTATCAACTAAACCTTTTTCTCTGAAAATAGAATATTTATTTATTTCTGCATCGTATAAACGAGAACAAACTTTATATTTGATATAAATGGATGTATTACCAGTTCTTGTATATTCTCTATAAAGAATATGTATTTTAGAGGCCAATTTCCGAATAACTAGAGGTTGGAAATTTTTTTTTCTATTGCAATGTACTGAAATATGTGCAGAAATAGATGAGTTTAAATACTTACAAATAATTTCCCAGAATACTTCAACATCTTGATTTGTAAAAGCAATAGCTTTTACATTAAAAACATTTTTTGAGTTATTGGTTAGTATTAGATCTAGGGGGTTATTATGTCAAGTATTTTCAAATTCAAGCTGGTCTAAAGCAATCGCCGAGCACGTTTCTACAAATAGGTCATAAAACAAAACTCTGAAACTAAATGGACTTGACCTTTAACCTACCACTCATAAACTTAAGTTTATGAGTGGTAAGTTAAAGGCACCTGCAATGACACATGTAGAGTTGCACTTAGAAGTAATTTTATTAATTAACTTGCACAAAGCTTTAGTTCTTAAAACACTTGTGGCAGCACATAGAGGGTGATAAACACATAAAAGTTGATTTTTTTGGTCAATGGATGAGACAAAAATGTCAACACACGTAATTTCAGTATTTTGTAATTCTTCTGGTATTTCAAGATTGTATTGAACTGAGCTGGAAAAATTTATGAGTTGAGAACAGACTTTTAAATATTGCTGCAGCAGTAACTCGTAAATATTGAAAAGCTAATTTGAATAACGGAACCAGTCCAAATAAACATTTTTAAAAACATGTCCAAAATTGTATTTCAAATTTTAAGTCTAAACTTGTTCTATAAGGAATTTTTATAATAGTTATTTGTGATTATTATTTTTTATTTAGATGAAAATAGCTTTTAAGAATCATAGCTAATCTTAGCTTACAAACAGTGGCGTCGCTAGGGTTGGTGTCACCCAGTGCGGTAAACTTATGGTGTCACCCCTCTAGACTTATACTAACAGGGTCGACGTCTCGAGTTTCAAATTTCTAAAAAAAAAAAATTCCTTTAAAAAAAAGTTAGGGCATGCAAAATACAATCTTTTGATCTTGGTTAAAAGACAAAAGATTTTTGTGTAAAATGAAGAAATTAGCAGAAATACTAATAAAGAGTATCGAAAAATCAAAACCTAAAAACTATTGGTTAGGCCAAACGCGAAAATAAATTAACATGAGGATGATCAGTTCATATTTGCATTCTTTTTTCAGGTTGTATTTTTTTCATTGGTGTATTATATATATATATATATATATATATATATATATATATATATATATATATATATATATATATATATATATATATATATATATATATATAATAAAATGATTATTATCTTCAAAATTTCCTTTTATATTTTATATAACTATTAGACAGCTGTAAACCTTATGCTGCCCATAACATAGGCGCCCACAAGAAGGGGGGGGGGCAAGAGGAGCCACTTGCCCTCCCCCCTGTATTTTCTAAATATAGAAAAAAAAATTCTTGTTTGTAACGTTCTTCATGCCATGAAGTTTGTTACTAAATTTTTCTGTAAAAAATATCTTTTAGCGATACTTCGTTAAAGTTTCGGAAAAAACCTAATTAAGTTTTTTCCGAAATAATTAATTGCTTATTTGTATGAAAAACACGATATTTTTCAATCTTAGCATGTTTCGTAGTTTGCACACTACATTTTCAAAACGGTGCTGACAAGTTTAAATTGTCTTAATTTTTCCACGGACATATAATTTTTTCTTTTCTTTATTTTATATCTTACATATCTTGATTTTTACATAATAGATAACAGGAAAAAAAGCAATAACAAAAAATGTTTTGCCCCCCCCCCCCCCTTAGAAAATTTTCTGCGGGCGCCTATGGCCCATAATGCTACGGTTGTCCACAATGCTAACATTTTTTAGAACATAGCATTACTGAAATTTTTCTAATTCCACTATCATGTTATGGTTCAAAATTACTTTTTTCCAACTTTTGACAGTTCTCTAATCTCTTAAACATTTGACGGGTCTTTTATAATGAAAAAATAAAATATAAATAAAAATTTTGAAGTAACAATATATTTATAATGTCTTTTTTTTTTGAAAAATTTTTTTTATAAAAAAACTTTTTTTTGTTTTTTTAAAAAAAAAATATTAATTCTTTTTTTTTTTTAATTCAATTACTTTTAAATAAAATTATACGAAAAAAGATTTTTATTTTTTTATTGTAATTTTAAAGACCCGACAAATCTTAAGGGTTCGAGCCTCAAACCCCCTAAAAAGCTTCGAGGGATTCATAAAATTTCGAAAAAAATATTTTGAACCATAGTATGATATTAAACTTACATAGTACATAGTATGATATCAAACAAATATTTGAACCATAGTATAATATCAAACTTCAAGTTTACAATGTTCTGAAAAAAATTAGCATAGTGGAAACTTTTTTTCTTTTTATTAAAAGGATTTTTTCAAAGTTGTTTTTTTATTTTTATTTTTTTAACTATAATTATTTTTTCGATCTATTTCTAATATTTTTAAAACTTAGATTTTTTTTAATTGTTTGTCTGTTGAAAAGCCCTTCTTATTTTAAACTTTTAAAATTAAAAAAAAAAATTTTAAAAATCACGATGTTCGAATCCTTCCCGTATTTTGCTTTTTGAAAAGTAACGTGGATGGATCGGGAAGACTTTTTTCAACAGTTTTATTGAAGTAGTTTCGGAGAATGGTTTGTGGCTATTAATAAGGGAGAATCGGACTTTTATATTAAAAAAAATTATTTTATTAAAATAAAAACAAACTTTAGTAATTTAACTCCATAATAAAGAACTACTTTGTCAATATCAATAACCAACGTTCCGAATTCTTCTAAAAAGTGATATTCTTCGTGCTGAGCTGTAAAAATATGGATTGCGCGGTGCTATCGCAAAATCAAATACAACAAAATGAAAACCAAGATTCTTTTGGTATTCGAAAGATTGTCGATTGTAAATTAAGTCAGGTACAAAATTTAAGCTAATGTTTAGTGAAAACAAAAAATCAGCATTTTTCAAAATAAGTATAAAAAGAAATGGTAATTATGTATTTCGCACATTAAATATTACACACGTGCTTTAATATTTGAATTTTTTACAGTAACATGTTCTGAACATTGTTTAAGTTCGAAATACTTTGGCGTGTGATTTCAATTAATTTTTATTTAAAATTGATTTATCAGTAATGATAAATGTTTGTTGTTACTAGTAATACTGTGTATACATTTGCTTACATCTATTTTTTTTTATATATAGATTTTTTGCGTGCAATACATTTTTTTAAAAAATTATTTTGATATGGTTAACAATTAGATGCTAATAAAAATTACTTAACAAATATAAGTATTGTTTAATTTGATATATCAATACTATGTGCAAACCAATTTCATTTAACTTAAATGAAATTGGTTTGCACATAGTATTGATATATCAAATTAAACATTGTTTAATTTGATAGATCTTTAAAGATCTTTAAACTCAAAATCAAAACATTAAAATCAAATCAAAAGATCTTTAAACTCTTTATGTACTGCAAAATAAAGCAATAAGATCTATCCTTAAATTTTAAGGATAGATCTTATTGCTTTATTTTGCAGTACTTAAAGAGTTTAAAGATCTTTTGTTTATAACAAAAGAAGTGCACATTGCTGATAGTGTAGTGCAATTATTGTATTAAAAACCAATATTTTACACCATTTAGTAGTATAACTAACTATTTTACATAAATAACTTGTTTTTTTAGCATATTTTTTTCTTTCTGATATATAATGAATATGTTTTGTAAAACTCGATAAATTGCACAAAAAGCAAATATCTAACTTGAACTTCTACTGTCATTTTCTCCTTCAGCAGGATCATCAGGAAGAAAGTCTAAAATTAAAAATTTAATTTAAAGAACAAAATTTTTACAGGAAATTATAAATTATAACAATAGTTAATTTATTTTAAATCTGTATTCTTCTGTAAAAAGGAAGTTATATATATATATATATATATATATATATATATATATATATATATATATATATATATATATATATATATATATATATATATATATACACACACATACATACATACATACATACATACATACATACATACATACATGCATGCATACATACATGCATGCATACATGCATGCATGCATACATACATACATGCATACATACATACATACATACATACATACATACATACATACATACATACACACACCTATTGTAAAGGGCTTAAATATACCGTTTTTGGTCAAAAATAGTTTTTAGCTTGTTTTTGGTTTTTAAACTGACAAAATTAAGGTTAGATTATAACAAAATATATTAATTTAATTGCGGAAATTTATTAAATTTAAATAACCACATTTATGCAAATTAAAATACTAGAATGTTTTTATTTTATTTCATAAAAATAAACACATTCTCAATGTTTTTATTTTATTTTTTTACTGTAAAACATGCTTGTAGTGTTGCTGTGTCAACTATCTTATAGTATGACTCGCAACAGAATGCCATTATATCAACTGAAGGTTTGGTTAGGGCAGCAGGCTGGGACAGGAATGGTGTGTGATGACACACTGTAACTGACCATGCTTATATATATATTTTTTTTCTTTACAATTTGGCCATGGCAGTTTGATGTTTTAACAATTTAAATGCTATTAAAGAATTTTATTTTATTATTAACTTTTAATTGTTGATCTTTTCTTAAATTTTTATTTTACATGAAGGCTTTAAATAAAATAAAAAAGTAGTTATAGTGATTGTTTAAATTAAACGTATTATGTGTAAATTAACAAATGTTATATTTATTTCATTATATGAAGGATTTTAAATTCTTGGAATGATAAGAATCCAAGCTACAATGCCAGCAATAAAAGCAATTAAATTTATTAGTGATAAGCTTAATTCATTTGATTTAAATTTGGACAAAGGCATTGTAGCTTCTGTTACTGATGGAGCTAGCTTAATAAAAAAAAATTTCATGACACATGGTTCTGATAATAACCCTGTTGGTGATGATATGGAAGCTGTAGATTATGATCAAGGTTACAGCAATGATGAAGATGGAGCTGATATTCAAACTGTTCATGAAGTTATTGAAAATTCCATTACATTATTGAAACTTGAATATCAAGAAATCGTGTCAAAAATAAGAAAGTTGGTTAAAAATTTTTGTAGATGGCCAATGAGCAATGATGACGAACTTCAACCAATTATAATTAAAAAGTTTGAAAAAGAAAAAGCATTGATTTGTGATTCAAGGACAAGATGGAGCAGCTCTATTGATATGCTTGAACGTTTTTTGGAGGTGCAAACAGAAGTAAAAATAGCTCTGATTGGTATGAATTCCTCTAACTAAAAATGAGCTTGATGTCATAAATGAACTTTGTGTTGCTTTAAAACCACTAAAATCAAAAGGAAATGCTTTTGTATTCTGAAATTGTGATTGTATTTACAAGAAAAAAGCTTCATGAAACTAGTACACCTATAAGTCAACTTGTTAAACAGATATTTGAATAATTCTCAGAAGAAACATTTATTTCATCTCATGAAATACTTGTCAAATCTGAATGTCTTAAATAAAAATGACCAACTTGGCAACAATATTAAAAAAAATATTAATAATCTTGCTACTAATTTCATTCAGCAATTATTTCAGCCATCTGATGATAGCTCTGATATTGAAAAGGAAGTAAATAATTTAACAGATAATGTAAAAAGTATCAAAAATGAATTGAATTTAGCTCAACAACTCAAACTTTTTATTAAACAATCAGACAATGAAATAAACTTGACCATTGGGAAATTGGAACAAACCTCGTTCAAAAGGAAACAGCTGTTCTTCCAACTAGCAAAACTAGGCCCAAGTATTTTGATTTACTTTTTAAAGCTCATCAAACAATTCCTCCTACATCTGTAGAATCTGAGAGAGCTATTTCAAATCTTGGGCTTTTTGTTACTAAAAGAGAAGTTCTTTAATTGATGAAGATTTAGATTCACTAACTTTTTTAAAGCAAACTATGAAGAGTACTCATTGATGTTATGTCGTAATTAACGATGATAAACAAATAAATACTTGTACGCATACTTTATATTACTTTTGCCTGATTTAACATAACTAAAATAAAGTTCAAAATAGTCTGAACTTTTTTCTGTAACAGTTTGAAAATATTCAGGTTCGAACTTATATCGCAAACTCCAGATATATAACATATTGAGATCGCCTAATTCAACCCTTGAATAGTTCTTTTAAGAGCTAACTAAAACAACAATAAAAGTTAGACTGCTGATATTTATGTTTTATATGGAATAACTTATTTTAATTATATAATATATATATATATATATATATATATATATATATATATATATATATATATATATATATATATATATATATATATATATATATATATATATATATATTAGGGTTCGCAACATATGCGCATATCAACGAATATATGCGCATACCATTCAAATGTTATGCGCGTTATATGCATATGATGCGCATACAAATTTAACAGATAAATGCTATATAGAATTAAATAATGTCAATATAAAAAAAAATGTTTTTTAAATCAAACGCAGGTGACTAAATTTAAAAAAATAATTTTTCATTCAATTTTCTGTAATTAATTTTATTTTAATATTTCAAGTTATTTTTATGATTTTTAAACGAATTTCTATATCACAAAACTTAACAATTTAATTTATTTTTGTATTACCTTTGCTCATTTAAAATATTTATGACCACTTCTTCCTGTCGCCATTTCATTATTTCGATTGGTAAAAGTTCTTAAACAATTTTATGTCGTTTAGTTGATTTTATGGTATTATCAGTTTTTATTTGATAACTTGTGTTAAAATGTTGTTTTAAATTTATTTGTCTTACTCTAGCTCACTTTTGTCCCACTTTACCCCAATGGCATGGTTTCTCTAAAAGCAAAAATTTATATACTTAATTGTAATTGGCTGGAAACCTAAGGGGATTGAATCAGTGCCTAAAAAAAAGTTTTTGTATGCGCAGATATATTTGTAAAAACTTGTTTGGTTCAATTATACATCAAATAAAAAGGATATTTCAATTACCCTAAAAAAAAAAGGTTTATGTGTCCCACAAAAAACGACAAGAATGACTACATTTTAGAGGAAATATCATTTCTTAAACTTTAATTTTTTCAGTTTTTTAAATTAAAGTACTTTAATAATTAGCAACTTGAAGTTTTGAATTATATAAGTGCGGTAATTAAAGAGATTTACAGGAATTATCTTTTTCCGGATATTTCCGGAATTCCGGATATTTTTTAAATTTTTATATTTTCCGGATAACTAAATAATTTTTGAAAATACAATTTATAAAATTTTTTCTGTTTATTACTGTCATCAAATGAAACAGTAACAAGTATATATAAACAGTAAATTTGTTGTCCATAAATTACGGAACGCTATATTTAGTTAACAAACAAAGCCAAAAAGATTAAAAGATTTCCCTCGCAGAGTAAACCGAAAATTAATAAGCATTTTAATTAAAGTTTAAGACAAATCCCAGCGCAAAAGAGCGAATGATCTCCTATTTTTAAAATAAAATTAGCGATGCGTGTCAAACTCTTCTCTTTTTTAAAGATATTTTAAATTTACATTTTTTAAATACCGTAAGATTGATTGGGTGGCTTTGGCCCTACGGGATGACTTTAGCCCAAGCGAAATTTTTGTTTAAAAATGGTTTAAAATCGATACCTTAAGGTATGCCGGATGATGTTTATTAGCAAATTGTAGGAAATTTATTATTTATTTAGTCTAACTTAGTTTACTTAACTCGAGTCTTTGTGATATTATTGTAAATTGCACTTTAGAAGAAGCACCTAAAATCCGAATTTTTTTAGGTGTGTAAACTTTTACATCAATAGCAGTACCTGTAGAAGGTTTTTTATTGGAATATACACTGAATTAGTTTTAAACCATTA